AAACAAACGAGTTTGGCCGAGTGCGTCCAAATAGTCCGCCTCGGGTGACAGCGGACTAGTGACAGTGGCACAGGCACTCCACACTCCACATATTATTGCTAGTGCATGCTGTCAAAGAGCAAACAAAATTGATCGACATGGCATTCGGGCTGTACTCCGTAAAGCTGTATATCCGCCGATCCGACACTTCAGAGCAACACTAAGCCAGAAAGGCTACTTCCTAACATGGATATCGCATGTCGCCTCCACCTCAGCTCAGCTCGGCTCCGTACAGCTTGGTACAGCTTGCTCACCGAAATGACGCGTTGAGTAGCCTGACTCGCGAATATCGACTAGGATTAATCTTAGTCTACTCCTATCTGCACACTGGGTGCTGCAGGGTATACTATTGCCTATTCCCCTTGCCCTCCAAGAAGAATACGTGATATTACAAATGTAATATGGGTAGAAAAAAATATAACTGGGCAGTTGACAGATCATGTGGACCAAGGGTTGTGATCTGCGCATTGCCAATAAATACTTCTGGCTGATGGTTACCCAGGCGGCTTCAGAAATCTTTCTTTATGTCGAGCTAATGGCCAAGTTTCACTTTTCCAGCCAGGTTGAAAGCAGATGAGGACGTCGATCAGGGAGTCGCATGGCTCAGGGGTGATTCATACAGAGTACGGAGTATGTGACAGCGTGTACCTAGGATGCCCAGGTAATGCCTCCAGTTTAAAATTCTAGGGTAGGAATAGCCAGGGATTAGGGTTATTTGCAGATTAGGGCATGCAGGTCAAGTGCCGCTCTCCGGGTATTCAGCATGTATGAAAAATTGCCTTCTGCTCATATCCTTTTGGAGAGGCTGTTTGCACAATATCATCACCACGGTGTGGCTGCAGAAGTTGTACTTTATTGAACCTTAGTCCATTCAAGTTTCTTGCTTCCTCGTACAGTATCTCGAAGAAGCTCCTGTGTTTTGGAAGCTGCTCGCTTTTTACCTGCCTACTGAGCTTGAGCCATCCTCTTCAATACCAGGCACACGATGGCGACATCCGAGGAGCCACCATCACAAAACTCGCCTCCTGATAAAAAGGAGACGACTGATAAGAAGGAGGAGTTAGACCAAAAAAATGTCGGATTTTCGACAAGCAATCACGATCATGGCCCTTTTGTTAAGCACATTCCTGGTGCGTTCTGCCATCGCTGTCGCCCCCCGTTCATACCGTCTCGCTGACTGACCTCGAACGCGACGAAGACATCTCTGGACATAATGAGTAATCTCAAGAAATTCGACGCATCAATTGACTGTTGCAGACAATCATCTCAACCGCAATCCCTCGCATCACCCACGACTTTCACAGTCTGAACGATGTGGGTTGGTATGGCTCGGCATTCTTTCTTACAATGTCTGTCTTTCAATCCGTCTGGGGGAAGTTGTACAAGTACCGTCCTTTAAAGTACGCGTTTCTGGCTGCCATCTTGGTCTTCGAACTGGGAACGCTTGGATGCGGTATTCCTTCCAGCTCATTGAGCAGCTACTTTTGGCATTCGCTGATGATCTTTTCCAGCCGTATCCAAAAGTAGTCCGGGCTTTATTGCCGGACGTGCTGTTGCAGGTGCTGGCGGAGCCGGCATTATTGGTGGGACATACGTTATTTTGGCGTATATTGTCGCTCCAGAGAAGGTCCCCGTATTTTTACGGTCTGACTGGCATTATATTTACGCTCGCCAGTGTGACTGGTCCTCTCATTGGAGGCGCCTTCACATCGGACGTTACATGGAGATGGTGGTAAGTGCATGTCTACCCCCTTTCTGATCAAGATCCTGCGTGTAACAATTCATTTTAAGCTTCTACATCAACCTACCCATTGGTGGACTTGCAATGGTCCTATTGCTGTTCGCTTTACGGTTACCCCCTTCTGCCCATCCAGCTCGAGCCTCTTTGCGCGAAGTTTTGCTGCAGCTGGACATTCCTGGCAGTGTCACAAAAATCGGTTCACTTATCTGCTACCTACTTGCTCTCCAACATGGCGGCATCACTCAGTCATGGGGCTCCTCGCAACCGATCGGCCTCCTTGTCGGCTGGGTCTTGTTGGTGATAGCTTTCGCTCTTATTGAGTGGTTCCAAGGAGACCGGGCCCTCGTTGCCCCTCGCCACTTGCGTAGTCATGGCATCCGAATATGTTGCGCTTTTATCTTTTTGTAAGAGCCAGCTTCTAGCGCCCAAAAGTGCCACGCATCATTGTAGTTGTACTGACATCAGCAGTCTTAACGCTGCCAACTACCTTCGCCTTTATTATCTGTCGTTGAGATATCCTTCGGCGGTGTGCAGCCAGTTGTCGTCATCGCGAAGTTCCTTGCCGCCAAAAATCCGAGCAGAAACGCGGCCCACAATCCGGCGTAACGTCTCAAACGCCACGACGCTTGTCCATTCTTCTTCATTGATCGACGCTGGTAGTTCTTTGGCAAAAGCGGCGTCGAGCTCCTTCCGAACGGTCGGGATCAAGATGCTGAGCTGAGGATTCAGCTTCCGCTTCAAGATAGTGACGAACAGGCGCGTGGTATTTAAGACATCGAGATGGATGAATTTGCTCTGCATGTTGTCCAAATTGGCCTGCATAGAGTTCGCCTGACTGACTGGCAGCCGTCGAATCTCGTCGAGGTATTTGTGCGGAAGAACAATCACATCATTTTCGGTGAGTTTCCATGGCCTGTCTCTGTATCGGCATGACCTTCTTGAATAACCGCTTCTGCGGATTGGAAGAAGCCCCATCGTGCAAGCCAAGCATGCTTTGATCCCACGAATGGTGCCACAAAAGCAGCGTTCCCGGTCTTGGTGAAACGCGTTGCCAGTGTGAAGTAGGACAAGACCACGGCAGCCAGCGTCACCGAGAACCATGGGAGTTCTTTGTTATTTTGATGAACTCCTATCTGGTGAAGTAAAGTGGCGAATACAGTCAAGTTTGTCTCAAGAGCGCCAGAGCAGTCCGTCTTGAGGCGGTCTAAAGGAGTTTTCAGTAAGTAAGGTAAATGTATCTGTTACCTGCTCGCAAAGACAGGATGATTACGGATACATCACAATGTGAGGCAAGCTTGGGGCGATGATGGGACAGTGCCGTTCTTTTGTCCCATCCAAGTACGTGCATGATGCAAAGCTGAGCCATGCAACCTTACACAAGAGTTTAATTCTACTCCGTAGATCAGAGGACAAACCAATTCGTAGATTACAGAAATATTACATAGGAAGTATGCAACAATAATTATAGCTTGAAACCCATGCCCAGAGCTGAGGCTGACATGCTTCTGTGACTGCATGGGTTCCCTGCTGATAAGCAGTGACCAGCGGTATTGGGGATGCATTAATTCAGCTGATGAGAATTAGGGCATATGGGTGGTGTGGTTGTGCTGATGATTATATGCCCTGATTTGCTAGCCTAGGCTCAAGATGAGAGGGTAATAGTGATGACTAATCTGTATGAAAACGGTGATGCATGCAGCTGAGATGCCTTGGTGATAGAAGTAAGAAGGATTAGAAGCTTAAGAGCCAATAATCATGACTTTGCTCGCATGCTATCCTGGTCTTCCCAAGAACAGGTGCTGACAGGTGGCAGGCCCTCATTTGCTCCACCGTTGGACAATATGGCTAGACACAATAAGAAAATCCCTGATAAACTAGCCTATATTACATATATTATCTTTGTCTAGCAATGCAGTTGTCTTTATTAAAGCAAATCACTCGGGCATTTCTTAATAACCCTAAAAATACCGGATGAGGTAAACATGCAGTGGGGGCAGTGGAGCCTCGGGACAAGACCGGGGTCTGGGGGATCGACCAGCAGGATGCGTGGGCCGTCCTACCACGGGCCGGACCAGGGCTGGGTGGGTCATGGCCCCCACTTCAGCTTTAATTCCACTATACGGAGTACTCCGTATTTGGCCTGTATTTCAGTGGTAATTTTTACTTCCACTCACCCATGCATTTTTAATAGTCTTGGGTTCTTATTCTCTGTACTCAGACAAATAGGATAGTCCTACCATTCCTTACCATGCCTAGCTATAGTCCAAAGCGGCCCGCCTGTCAGTTTCTTTGTGCTGTAAAATGCATATGGCGCCCAGTTTTCTAAATCAATGCTGGGCAAACACTCAACTTATCAGCAGTGACTCCCCATAACCAAGCTTTTTTTTAATAATTGCTTTTTTCCTTCAATTTTTATTTATTTGTTTATCTGTATTTGTTTCTATTTTTCTTTTATATCTTCAGGCTTGAGTCTAGCCTCTTCGAAGCGAACAACCGCTCATTATTATACCAACCTGTTGTCATGGCAAGCTTGCCTCCAAGCGAAATCCAATATGAAGAAGCACACATCCACCAAAGTCAGCAGGCTGCTGCCTATGGTGTCCCCATTGCCTTCTTCATCTTAGCAGTATGCTTCATTTGCATACGGTTAGTATCGAGAGGAATGCATCGAGCCAAGTTTGCTCTCGATGATTACCTGGCTCTAGCAGGCATTGTAGGTGGAGCTCTTCTGGTCACTTGGTAGCTTAAATAGCTCATTCGTTTTCAGCTAGCACTCATACCATTCATGGCAGCAACATTGGGAGGTATGGCATTTTTCCCCACTGTCGGGAGAATCACTTGATTATTAACCTTTGAACTGTAGAGGTTAAGAATGGCATTGGGAAGCATATATTATCCTTGACGCAAAAAGAACAGGTGATGCAAGCCAAGGTAAGTGTTTGCTCTCAATCCCCGAGGTCTTCTTCTATCATAGGCAGTGGGAGGTTGTGAATATATATTCGTACACTACCTCCATCGCCTTCATCAAGCTGTCAATCCTGGCTCTGCTTTCTCGGATTTTTGACGTTTACAATTGTGGTTTTCGTATTGCTATCTGGATACTCACGGTGTGGATGATCTTTTGGGCAATCGCATTGTACTTTGCCTATGGTTTCCAGTGTCAACCATTTTCACGAAACTGGAGCCTCACAGACCCGTGCCGGTCGAGTTTCCGATTGGATTATTCAGCCTCAATACTCAACGCTGTTCACGACGTGCTACTCTTTTGTCTCCCTCAGCCGCTCATTTGGAGGCTTCAGCTCCCCTTCAAGAAGAAACTAGCTGTTAGCGTGACCTTCTTTATTGGATTTGTGTGAGTGTCCTCCATACTTATGCATTGGGCCTCGACGCATATGCCTAACTTAGCGGTATCAGTGCTACCCTGATGGGAATATTGAAGATCGCTTACGTCCAGGGCGCACCTGGATCACCACACAAGATTGATTTCACATGTAAGTGACACAATTGATTCGGAAATTTGCTCGCAACGTCCTGACTGACTGTATAAAAGACACCACTGTACCGGCCCTCATCTTCAACGCCCTGGAACCCCTTCTAGCTGTTATTTGCTCCTGCCTTCCCTCGACACCTTTATTCTTTCGGCAAGTCCACCTTGAAGGCTTCTCACGGATCACTTCGCTGCTCCGGTCGGTGCGCTCGAAGAAATCACAGCTCTTCGAATCACCTTCTGGGCTTTCTGACCCACGCACCGGATCTGAGCCATCCTGGGCTCGGCTCCCTGGCAGCCAAAACGATCACAGTACGCGGAACATCTATATCAAGCACGACATTAGCGTCGATGCCTCTCATGGCAGCGGTGAGCATATTGTGTTGCAGAAGTGGACTTCAGACCAACAGAAATTGGGAGCAAATATCGTTTGAATGGATTGCATTTTGTCCACATCAGGCGTACTTTTCTCTGTTCGTCTTTGTATAGTGGTCTCGTTTGTAAAAGCTGGATGCTGTTGAGCAATGGAGTTTAATAGGAGTCAAGTAAAAGAATGTGAAAAAGATATATGTTCGATGTCTTAAGACAGACCAAGCAAGCATCCAAAATACAAGCGTTAGACTAATTTGCCGTCTTCAATCCATACTTCCTCGTAGCCCACTATATGTCTCACACTTTGCTTATTGATCAGTTTTGCCTCGTCCGGCTCCACGACTTCCTTATAATACGGGTCTTCCATCAATGCCTTCAGAGTGTTCGCGGTCTGTACGAGAATCTCGGCGTACCCGTCAAAGTCCAAAATCAATGCTCCTTCACTGACACTAGGTACTCTTCGCGCATTGAAGGTGGCGTATGATACTACGCAAGACTTAGGGATGGATTAGTGGTTGTGTTCATAGGTAATGACCGAACTCGATGGTCGTTTGGAGATGAAACAAAGACCAACAACAGACCCGTGTATAGCGGTAAACGCCATGGCGTTGAAACCAGTGCTTTATCAGCGGCGCATGGACATTTGTCCAATGGCTATTAGCCGTGGTGAGCCTTCCAAGTGCGAGTTCCGATATTGAAGGCAACAAGTATGCTGCACTTACTGATGAAACTCCTCTACGGATAAGGAAGGATGACGCTTAACGTACACGTCAAATCGAATAAGGCGTTTTTGAGAGGCCATTGTACAATACATGGAAAACTAGAAGACCGATAAATAAATAATCTGGCTGCACTTTTTGGGGGTTAGGTTTGAAGTCTTTGGAAGGGAGAGAAGGCGCTTTGTTGTTAATCCTTGTGGGAAGAAAAAAAGGAAATGAAAGGAAAAAAAATCATCACACAGCCTGAATCAGCCTGGCATTTATGGTGGCTAATATTGCAGCTTAGACCATGCAGCGAGGGGTGGCGATGTAGCACAAGAGAGCCCAAGGCAATATACAAAACAACATTGTTGTTCGTCTCGCTGGCAAAGTCTTCATATCATTAGCTGTGTACCTAGAGTAGGTACATAAATCAGGAAGATTCATGTGCTTAGATAGGTAAGTATGTATTTGGTATGCTAGGACAATCTATGCGTTGGCTAGGATTCAGCCATAGTCACAAATCTATATCAAGGTCTGTCCTTCGCGTCATAGGGTCTATCAAGTGCTTGAATTTATACAATAGCTGAATCGGAAGATCTTAGATATGTCCCCAAATCGTATCTTACCAAAGCACAGCTTTCATCATACACGGCACATCTCTAACATAGCAATCAAATCTGCCCAGCTGCCTTCGCCAAGGATTAGGTCCTTTTGCGGTTTCTCATCCTTTTGACAACATCTAGGGCAGTTTCAGAAGGAGTCTGACGTCGTCAAGTCTCGGTTTCCAGAATATTCAGGGGCATTTTCCTGGTCTTTCTGCATTGCCAGCTCGGAAGAGGCCAGTCACCTCTTCGCCTTTATATATTCACTTCTCCCTACTCACCAACGCAGTGCCCGCCTTCCAAATTCGGAAGTCACCTGGTCCGCCCGCGGGCGTCATTCACAACACCGACCTCGAGGTCATTGCTGCCTCGACGCGTCTGCCAAACTGTCTTCCTTCTCCAAACTTCTTCTCTTCATCACCTCTAACATCATGATTCGCAACACTCCAGCTCCTGAATCCCATGAATGTTTAGCTTATGAACCCAATTTCACCGGGTAATGATGGCAGGAGCTACGGCTACCGCTGGTCCAAAGTCGAGCAGCAGCAGAAGAGCCCTTTCAGACGACGACATAGTGAAAGAGGTTCTGAAAATGATCACCAGCAAAGAGAAGGCACAGCTCACGATAATTTCACTGGTGCTCGAATACAACTTTAACCACGCGCGTCTGAAGGAACTTCTGCTCGGTTAGTACTTAGATATGATTGCAAATGTTGGTCTGAAATTTATATGGTTATAGCGCACAGGATTGATGGGAGCTTTTCAAAAGTGGAAAGAATAATCATGGGATTGCTCCGAAAGTTGGATTAGATCTAGGGAGACAATATTCCAACTTTCAAAATGCACAGAGCCAGAATGTTTCTCCAGACACGAAGTCGCCGCAGAGACTTTCGCGCGAAGTACTATATCAATTTACAAATTTGTGCGATGGGTTTATAGGATGCTCTAGATATCCTTGGAACTGTACATGTTCGATACGGAGATTTCTCAAAACGGGCCGATGCATGCTTGGCACCATCATCACAACAAACGAATTTAAGCCTTGTTCTTAAGGTTGGATTATCTGAACTTGCAATAGATGCACGGAGTTGGCTGGAAGCTCCACGTTTACTTCAACCAAAGAATCGAGGTCCACCTTTGGGAAATGCGCCATCGACAGCTTTCTATGGATATTGGAGACTCTTCTCATCTTCATTGCTTCTAAAACTCAAGAAGAAGTAACGATATCATCTTAAAACGGCACAACTACGGCGACTGGATTGATGATTCTATCTTTTAAGCATATTGCGGGACGTCGAATCAATGCGAACAATCCTCGAGAACAAGACTTTATCATCACTCAGCAACAGTTTCAAAAAAAAAACGCGGAACAGATCTGGAAGAAGCAGCAGGGTTTTATGTCATATTAGTAACTGGCCTGAGCGGTCTCTGGTGTGCTGAAAAGGACTCCAGAAAACAGAGTTAACAATCTATTAAAATGCTATACAAATATTAGCAGCAGAACATTCGATAATGGCAAAGTTGGAACTCTATACTCTAGAAATCCAACGAGAGGTGGCATCTTCATTTCGATGCAACTCCGCAGTCCTGTACTGGTTTGGGAGGGTTCCATCACGATTTCATGGCACATACTACGGGGGAGTGACCTTCATCAGAAGAGTTTGTGTTTGCCAGGAATAGATCCACTGAGTATATTTCATTGCTTAAAAAGTACTTTGTTGAAGTTTCAGCAACTTATCTACCATTATATTAGTAAAAATAGGAAACTAATTTTAAGTCTAATCTTTTTTATAAACCATCTAATAGTCTTGAGCTCTTTTTTTTTAGATACTTAGGATACTTTTAAACTTACTTAATTATTATCCTCTTGAATACTTTTTTTTTGCTTTTTTTTAGAAAAAAAAACAACGATAACATGCCAAGTGTCATCATCAATACAGTCAAATGAAACATAAAGCAAAAAAGAAATAAAAAAAATTATGCAACAGCTGGGATTCACTGGTGGTCACCCACCCAACTACTAACCAGCCAGCGTGTGGCTTACAGGCGGCCAATTCTTGCCTGGGTGCTGCCCCACTTCACACTGACCTATGCTTCTCACAAGCTGCCTCTCATTCTTTGTTCATACTGTACCAAACCCTTTCTGTGAAGCCCATAGTGGTCTCCATACCTAGGTTCCTAGAAGCTCCTGCGGTCACCTTCCTCACAGTATGCCACACCTGCCACACTTGTGGTAAGCCTCCTCATGAGGGATTATGTGTGACGGGCCTAACTGCGTTGGATTGCTGTCTATAACTAGGGAGCCAAACAAGGCTTTCGGTATACTCTCATAGCGATCCACCATGTGTGAGAAGCGTAGTTGGTCCAGGATCATGCAGCGGATTTTTCGATCCTTTTCTTTCTCGGCGGTGTCGGACAGCTTGGCCGAGAAATGGAGGACATCGTTCTCGTTCTGGGACTGCCAGTTACTTCGATAAGTGGTGTCGATGAAATCTGCCTCCAACAACCTCGTTTTGTTGATATTGTGGAGGATCAGGTCGCTTATTCTCTCTGTATGTAGGCTGAGATTTGATTCGACAAGGTCAATGTGCTCTCTGTCGATTATGCATTCCGTCAGTCGCCCAGTTAGCCAGTACGGGAGACAGAAAAGGTAAAAAGCATTTTTTTTCTCGCACAGAAGCGACGCCAAGAGCGTCGTATCAATCTGTCGTCGCAAGAGCTCGAGCCTTTCTGACATAACCCGAATCCTCTGTTGACTCAAAATCGCGCTGAGTGCGTGGCGAAAGCTTTCACATTTTCGATACTTACCTTCACCCGATTTCAACTTATGCAGACCGTTGAGCAGGTCTTGGGAAGCTCGCTGGCAATCTTTGCTGAGATTGTATAGTGCCTCATCGGTCTCAAATTTGTTGAAGGTTCCCTTTGGAGGTTGCAGGACAAAGCCTTTACTGATAGATTCTAAATTTAGTGTGATTGCTTCAAGCTCGGTGTTTTCAATCAAGGTCCCAGTAGTCGATTTGTATATCTGGTGGCTCTTGGAGATCAAGTCGCTGGTGAAACTGACAAACTGGACAATATTTGACGCGAGGCTTAGACAAGTCAGAGGATCTAGCATGATGACTGCTCGGGATGAAATTTCGCCGGGGCTGTCAGCGAAGTAGCCAGCAGGACTTTTTCCTTTTTCACGGCGGCACAACTATTCCTATTCTAGGTCTGAAGTCGTTGGAATGGAGGGAAGGGGCTTTATTGTTAATCCTCATGGAGAAAAAAAAAGAAAAAAGAAAAATGGGAAAAAAAAAAGCACCACGCAGCCTGAATCAGAATTGCATTTATAGTGCCTAAATAGTACAGCTGGCAACACTGAGTGTTATTTGCTATTGCAGTTTAGACTACACAGCGAGGAGTTATGGTGCAGCACAAGAGAGCCTAAATTAATATACAAAACAATATTGCTGTTCCATCTTGCTGGCAAGGTCTCCAAATCATTACTTGTGTACCAAGAGTAGGTATATCAGGAAGAGTCATGTGCTAGATTGGTAGTATTCTGGTGAAAAGCGCGAGATAGCGATCCAACTTGACATTGTCAGTCGAGCGAAGAGATGGAAAAGGACCTCTGCATGTTCAGGCAGTCCGTAGCTCTAGTTCTCGTCTAGCTTTCGCTTTCTTTACAAGTACAAGAGAATTTCTATTGGTTGGATTGCCCAGGAAAAGTAATTGTGTATTCTGTGCAGTACGTAGCGAACTGTACTCCGTATTCTCTCTAACCCCATTCCGTCTCTCTCTCTCTCTC